CTGCTTACCTTTGATGGCATTTCGCTAGGGGTACAAAAGGGACACTTATCGCTCTTAATATACCTGGTATTCAAGCAGAGCCTGCCCTCTGACGTAAACTTATCAATCGACAGTAGGATTGGAAGTCTCAAAGGTTATTTCGATTATCAACTACCTCTGAATCCTGCGTTACCAAATGTGAGTTATAGAATCTCTTTTATGACTTTTCTCGAACCTATTTCAGTTGTCGTCATGGAAAGAAGTGCAAGCACAGACCGTAACTGACAGTAATAATTTTCACACGTTTAGGGTATAAAATGCAAGCAGATTAACGTAACCGTAAACTGATCATTGGGAGTTCTCTCAGTTCGATGGATTTAAGAAATAGTAATCGCCTCGATAGTTGACATCTTTGCACTTTGAAAAGTCTCGTTATACTTCCATTCAGGTAAGGATTGTCGCTTTTGAAATTGGAATCTACATTGATGACTATTTTGTCACTGACACGCTAGTCACTTTATTGACGTCTTGTGTGAGTTACCCTATCTTCGTCTTCTGATATACTTGGCGCGTGACCTTTTAATAGGTAGGAGAACTGGAGTAACCATTAACAGAATTCCCAAACCGATTCATTCCTTTTTCTCTGCTAAATTCGCTTGATTTATTTTTCACATATCGGGTTCAAGAGATGCATAACTCTATGATCAACCTTCTGCCAATGAATGGTAGATCATTTTGTCTGTTGATAATAAGCACCCTATTTAGTATTTAGAAAAGGCTGTAGTAGGGAAATAATGAGATGGCCTTGCTTAATAATTGTGGGATTTTCATTACGCGATGAACCCAATTGAGTTTCAACCTGACTCAGATTTATTATATAATCCATTTCATTTATTCCAGTGCCCAACAAATCCGACAGGTCGGAATTTATAGGAACAATGCTTTTTGAGATTGGGCAAGCTTTTCATTGATGGCGACTCAGCACATCTCTCTCACTCACTCTACCACTTTATATGCTTTTAAAACTCCTCTTAATAAACACCATAATCAATGCTTTAGCATTTCAACATCGATTTGAGGAGTTCGTTTCCAAAATTTTGTACCTACAATATCTCATCATACTTAACTAATGTTGACAGTAGTATCTCTGCTACTAGTAACTATTTAGTTTTTATCCAAAAAGTGAACTTTCTCACGCTACTCACCCAACTAATAGAAGCACCGTTTCAAACGTCATAGTACGATTTCGAATTTCACCATCCATTCTATGCATACGACTTATCCCCCCTTGGTATCTTGCAGAAATTCACTCAGTCGTCTCAGCCCGAACTCTATCTCGAAAAGAATGACGACGGTTTTGTGAGATTAGTCTATGAAGTAGGATATTTGGAGGGATACTTTGAGAACCTAGTTTTGACATGTCTCTTAACAAATGCCCAAAGCGGTATGCCATTGGCCAAAGTCATGCGGCTATCTCAGTGGAATAACGAGAACATTGCCTTTCCAAACGTCTACTCAATGAATGAAACATGCCATTTGGATGAATTACCTCTGGGAACTGTATATTTGCCCTGTAGGTAAAATTTCATGGAGTCAACCTTGAAAAAGCGATAACTCCAGATTTAAGAGACTTTTTTATTATGCCTCTTTTAGTTGAAATGAATGCCAAGCCAAAGCTTCAAGCTGACATATATCTCATGCTATTCGGATCTGGCCCAGTGACTGTGAATGCTACCTGTCAACTTAATGACTTCAATGTGCCGATTTTACGAACTCATGTGGGGAGCCTTCAAGTGACTTCGAATTGGATTGTAAGTATTCACTAATTATAGCTTCTTCACTGTCTGATAAAATGGTCGAATAATGGGTAATATTCGATAGGGGTGTCTCAAGAGTTTCCTAATATAACATTCACCAAATTGGTAGATTGTGGTTTACAAATTTCTGTTTAAATATTGATATAATTACATTCAATAAATGCAATTACTTGTAACTATTAGGATTCACTATTGCAAATCTCATATTCATGAGATATTATTTTAAAAATGTGTGAAAGATAACTTTAATTTCATTAATGACAAATTCAAGTTTTTTCCGTCGGTGAACCAATGTCAATAATTCATAAAGACGCTTTAGAGCTACGCTTTTACTCAAAGGGATGCTCTCAAATAATTTTAAGCCTTCTTAACTAAACACGATAACTTTGGTTCTGTTGTTTAATACCTTCACAAGGCGGAAATTTAAAATTTACAAAATCGTGCATGGGAGGATCATTAAGATTAAATGGAAAAAAAACAGTGCTTTCAATATTTAGTTTCGCCTCCAGTCTGAAATCTGGATGTTCCTCATTCCTTGGGTGGAGATCGATGTTTCGCATTCATTCTCTCTCTCAAAAACACACCCCCTCTCTCCCCCTTTGAACCCTCAGTGGCTTGAGCATTTTAATATCGTTCCATTTGCTTGAAGCCAAGAAATATAGGTTATCACTTACGATATCTCAGAATATTCTTCCTTTTCTAAACATACTTTGAGTATTTGTGAAAAGTGCTAGGCAAAACGTCAGATATTTATTCATTTATATCAAATGGCAGGTGTTTTGATAATTATCATTAGTCCTATAGTTGACTTCAGGCTTCACAGAGG